GATCCCATTCTCAGCTGACACACGACCTTTCTCTCTCACAGCCAATGTCGATCTTCAATCGGATGGACATGGAACTCGAAAGCTGGGGGGACTCCCTCTTGTGGTTGCCCGATACATCACTACCGCCTCTGCCGGAAGATGTCTTGGGAATCCATGTATGATCAATGAACAAACGAATTAATGAATTGGATTGATTGATGAAACCATGTCTTGCACCCTCCTAGACCACAGCGGGAAAAACGTGGTTCTCGAGGTCTACGATCCTAGGATGGACATTTCGACATGAACAATTTGCACTTCTGTACATGTATATCCTGACACTGCCTCGTCCGTCTCACGTGTTTTCTAACCCCCTTTCCTTTTGAAAAAGGTATCGAAACTTCTAATACCGCTTATAATTCAATCTCGGCCCCGTCCTGGGCCTCTTCAGAATCTCCCTCCGGTCCTCCCCGTCGCGGAGCCGTCTGACCAACTCGTCCGGGTCAAAGTCGACGCCGACGGGGTTCTCGGCGAACTCGGCCGTGTGGAAGAAGGCCGTAGCCTCCTGCACCGTGGCGAAGTTGTCGACCTGCATCTCGATCTTGTTGCCGTCCGGGTCCTTGTAGTACAGGCTCGTCGTGGGGCCGTGGTTGACGCACCACCCGGGCACGATGCCACGGGCCTTGCGCTGCGTGTAGGCCAGCGCGAGGTCGTCAATCGTGCTGAACCCGAAGGCGACGTGTTCTGTTTGCATGGTAGTCTTGTCAGCTAGTTAGATAGTGCGGATGCTTGTTCGGCAAAAGATGCGGATCGAGCCTCGTGATCGTATGTGAACAACGTTCTGTACCAGGACATATACACACACTCTCTCTCTTTCTCTCTCCATCTCATAACCCAACAACCAACGCCAATATACAGAGTATCAAGTATCAAATCTCAAGTGCTTGGTGTTCGGTGTCTAGTACGTACCTAACCCCGAACTCGTCGCGTCCTTTGGCCCCGACTCGGGCAAATTCAGAATCGCTATCCTGTGATGCTCCTCGTCGTAGGTGATGAATGCGAGCTTGTCGTTGCCGTACGTGATGGAGCCGCCGAGGAACGTCGTCCAAAAGTCCACCATCGGCCGGAAGTTGGCCGTGCGCAGGACGACGTGGGCGAGGTATTTGGGCGGGAGGATTTTGGCGGCAGCGTCAACGGCAGAGTGGTTGTTGGCGGTCATTTTTTCTGGTTGTGCCTTGGTGAGATAATACGAATGTCTCGAGTGCAAAACCGGTTGTTCAGTTCGACGTAGGTTATGGCTAGATGTGGCGACTTATCCTTCAGAGGGGTGGATGAATTGGTGATTACGCGGCGACCTCAGGTACACGAGGCACAAGGCGAGTCTTCGAACACTGAAAAGACCGGGTAGGGAATGAATGAATGAGTCAACATTCCACTCTGACCCCCAGATTCAGACGGGTCATGTAATACAGTACAATACAATGAGAGCAAACCAAACCATGTGGCCGCGACCATACACAGTTGGCACCTCGCACCTCGGCCTCCTTGATACCGACGTCGAGAATGCGATTGATCTTGGGTATACCTCGCATGCAAACCGTCTTGTCCGGGTCAATCGGGACGTGGCATTCCTACCGAGCCCAAGGAAAGGTTCAGCAGGTGTGTCAAAATCTCTACCGAGTACTCTTCTCTTCCTTTCTCTCTGCCGACGCCTCGACGAGGTCCTTGCAAAGTCGTTGCACTGGAAGAACCCTTTGCGGGGACAAGGCAGACTAACCGTATCGGTTCGGTTGACTCCACTCTACCCATTACTGGTCTACCCGGCTCGATCAGGTCTAGCTTTGTCAGGCGGCTGCTCCACAGACCCACTTTGGCCCATCAATTGGCGGGGTGGTGTTCTACTAGCTAGCATACTGCTGAAGACCGCTGAAGAACCTGCGGTGTTTTCTGGACAATATGTGTGAAAGTCAAACCTATGGCGGTTTGTTCTCTTGAGAAGAGGCAGACCTGGCAAATTTGAACAGTGTGACTGCGTCTCTACAGTAGGAATATCATTTGGTGGTCAGCAATCAGAATCATCAGATAGAAAGGGGAACAAAAGTCAGCCGGGGACACGTTATGGATGGATCAGCGGCGACAGCATTCATTACTGGTAGGCATCAACCTGCGCACTTCAAGCATTCTTTTTCTCCCTGCAAATAAGAACAACACGGACATTTTATGCTGAGCAGTGACCAGGTGGTGCAAGCGGACTTGGTCGCGCAGTGACGGAGCTGTTGCTTCAAAAAGGGTGCGTTTTTAACTTGGCCAATCTTTGGGTCCAGATCTTGGTTCCTGATCCAATCTTCCGCCTGAAACAGTATCAGAGTATGTGTTGCGGACATCTGCCAGGATGGCCTGCAATCCTTGAGCGAAGAGCTGAACAAAGACGAGACGGTGCTGTTGCCCGTCGTCGTCGACGTTGCAGACTGGGACTCCCTGCGCCAGGGGTTCGAAAAGGCAGTGTCTCAGTTCCAGCGGATCGACTACATCTTTCCAATCGCGGGTGTCGGCGAGACCAGGACGTTTCCCAATAACCCAGCATCCACGGGCTTTCAACCGCCAGATCTTCAAGCGTTTGAAGTCAACATGAACGGCTTTCTGTACACGATCAGCTTAGCCTTGCAGCAATTTCGCCGGCAGTCGGTGAATGAGCTTGGGTTTCGCGGCAAGAGTAAGTCTCCCGCAGAAGATCAGATCACGGTCTCCTTCCCTCGAAGGGGGGTTGATATCCATCAGTACGATTGAATACTCATCTTTCATGGCGCCACACAGTCATCGTGCTCGGATCAGTGTCGGGTTTTTACAGCATGCCTTGCGTCCCCATGTGCGCAGCAGCGAGACAGTAAGAGCCGCGCTCACTCACCACCATCAAAATCCAGGGAAACAGGGAGAGGCTCACACGCAACAGTGCCCAGGTCGGCTTCGTGCGCTCGTTCGGCACCTACCTCGCCGACGAGGAGAAGATCTTCATCAACGTCATCTGCCCCAACAAGATCCGCACGGGCCTGAACACCGCCGAGGCCTTCGACAAGGTCGAGGCCGCCGGCGTCCCGCTGATCGAGATGAAGACTGTGCTGGACGAGGTCGAGAAGCTGTTGGGCTCGAACAGCCTCTCCGGCGCCATCATTGAGATTGCGCCCAAGATTGGGAGTGTGGTGAGAGAGCCTCCAGCGTTCATCAACAGGGAATCTGAGCGCAGCGCCGAGATGACGTTGGAGCTCGCGCGGCCTCTGCACCAGGTAGTGCGCTGATCATTACGACGAAAAAGGACAGATTCATGAATTGCAGAATGTCTTTGCCTAAATGTTACCTATCGGTCTTGAACTAGGTGTCGTGCCAAAATCTAGACGACCCTGAGACATCCGCCGGCAACTGAGCGAAGAATTTACAAGCAGTGGACAGTAGAGAATTTCCCTGAAATCTCCCTTAATCTACCAGCCGCAAGTCCCTGATGCTGGTATGAGTCGTAAACAAATGAGCAGGTGACTCGTTTCTATCTAGTCTATATGTGTTCCTCCTGCCACAACTAGTCTTCCCATGGGGAGGATATTGCTGTGTGAACTTTGGAGACAGCAGAGTCCCAGGACTGGCGTATAGCGTGACGGGAGACGTCAGTCATCGTTGCTGTTGTTGTCGTTGTCGATCTTGTCACTGTTATGTCGTTGTATTCGTCGCCAATGTTGGAGCCGTTGCAGCCGTTGTTCAAGTTCCCATTGAATTTGAAAAGACCGACCGCCTCAGGCGAAAGCACCTACGGCTGACATACCAGCAGCTGCGATTGGGTTATTTCAGTATTCAGCTCGAGGCTTCAGAACTGTCCAGAGTACACACCTCCGAGAAGTACGGGCGTAAAGGCCCAGATCTTCGTCTTCTTGTCCATAAGCAAAACTTTGACGTTGGGTTTACTTATAAGACTATAGCAAAGCATCTTTGATGAACTTATTTCCTTGAATAAATTCCAAGCTGAATATATATGTATATGTATGTATGTACATGTGGCCTTGCCATGCTTTGCTTTGTTCTGTTCCACACACAGAGTAGATAATCAAAAAGAAGGCCAGAGGCGCTCTACCAATTGGCCTACACTTTTTGAGTCTGCTTAACACTTGACACAAAGAGAGTAGACAGAGTCTGCACAAGTACCCGTAGACTATGGCGGAGGCGGTGGCGGTCACCTCTATATAATTTCGATCCAAAAAAGAAAAATTCTCCTCGGGGCTATCGTCATGAAACGATACCTCGGAGACGGGCTCACGTTGACCGAGTCAGAGAAGTTGCCCACATTCGGGCTGGTACCGGCGATGCTCCTCCTGGACAGGAGTACGACTGGGACCGGACGACTCAAGGTCCTCGCCGCTGACAGGGTTGAAGTATCTCGAGGAACTCAAAGGACTGGATGGAGGGCCGACTTGGCCTGATGAGTGTGAGTCGCGGCATCAGAGATGAATACAGAGAGATATCCATACCACGGTGCAGGCCAAGACATTCAACACGATATGGAACGAGGGAAGAAACAGTATCTAGGAATGAGTTTCAGAGGTTTCGCTAGCCACTTTACTTCACTTCCTTCAGCAGGGCAACACGCCATGATACGCATTTCTTACAGACGGCATAGTCACAGTGCCGAAACACACCGACTGCAGAGCCTCCGTATGGAAAGAACTTACATGGCCAAGTTAAGAATGGGGTGTCTGGATGAGGGGCGCCGAGACTCTAGATCGAGTTGGAACGGCGGCTTCTGTGGAGCGTAGATTATGAGGCCAGATAGAGTCACTTGTAGAGCCAGGGAACACCAGAGTCAATGGCCAACAATGATGATAGGTGTGTTCTCCTCTTCCATGGAAGATAAATTCAGATCCCATTGTTCATGAAAAGACTACTGCGTTATAAATATTCCCAGTAGATTTGCAGCGATGAAGCGCTCCAGAAAAACCCCCCAACGCCAAAGTTTGCTTGCAGGGTTCATAACACCATTAAAGTCATGCTTTGACAATCTTGTTGACAGCCTCCTCGATGCGTTTGCCCAGGGACTCATCTACACGACGGAAGAGTTCTGTGAAATAGGACTCGTTAGACATTGTATCAGGTGCACGCTTGGGTGGGAAAGGGAAAAGGGCACTTACCAAAGACCTTCTCGCGGAGCCAGTCTCTCTTAACCCCAGCAATGTTGCCGGCGATGTTGGAGATGAAGTTCTCCTGCGCACCCTCCTGCTTGGCCATGACTTTGGTCCACAAGGCGCGGGCCTGCTTGAAGTCGTCGTCGGTCACATCAGAAGTGAACACGACGGGTCCACTCAGAAACTCCTCAGTCGGCTTGTACTCTGATACGCCTGCGGTGTGGAAGCCCGTGGGATGAATGGAGCTGTTGATGTAGTTCGGGTCAGGACCGTAGTTGGTGCTAAAGTTCATGAAACCATCGCGCTCAGTCGGGACGTAGATCGGCACCTTGGCAGCATTGGTGGGTAGCATTTGGTAGTTGACGCCGAGTCGGTAGCGGGCGGCGTCGGGATAGGCGAACATCCGAGCCTGCAGCATGGGATCGGCGCTGGGCTCAATACCAGGGACTATATTCGATGGTGTAAAGGCGGCTTGCTCAATCTCGGCGAAGTAGTTGGTAGGATTGGTGTCAAAGACTAGCTTGCCCACGGGCCGGAGGGGATATTGCTCATGAGGCAACACCTTGGTCATATCAAAAATGTTGACTGGACACATGGCCACATCGGCAGGATGGATAGTTTGAATGGACACTGTGTAAGAGGGATAGTTACCCTTTTCAATCTCGTTGAAAAGATCATTGGTCAAAAAGTCAGGGCTCTCGCCAGCGACTTTGATAGCTTCGTCGTTTGTGAAGTTCTTGATGCCTCCGTCAGCGTGGATATGGATTTTGACATAATGGTAGGAGCCATCCTTCTTCGTAAACTTGTAGGTGTGACCACTGTAACCGTTGATGGAGCGCAAAGACGCAGGAGTGCCGCGGTCACTGAAGAGGAACATCAAGGCATGGATGGACTCGGGGGAGCCGACGTGAAAGTCCCAGAACATGTCTGCATCAGAGGTGTGCGTAGCAGGATGTCTCTTGTGAGAGCGGTTGAGCGAGGGGAACTTGATGGGGTCTCGAACGAAGAAGACGGGTTGGTTGTTGAACACCCAGTCATTGTTTCCTTCTGCAGTCTTGAACTTGATAGCCCAACCATGAAAGTCACGAATGGTGTCGGCGGAACCAGCCTCGGGCCCAACGGTCGAGATTCGAGTCAAGACCTCTGTCTTTTTGCCGATTCCATTGAGAAAGTCTGCGTCAGTGATGTCGGAGATGTCGTGGGTGACTTGGAAATAACCCCGAGCACCAGCTGCTTTAGCATGCACGACTCTTTCCGGAATTCTCTCGCGCGAGAAGTGGGCAAGTGTCTCGATCAACTGGGTGTCTTGGAGAAGAACGAGACCGCCACCCTGCTTGTTGCGGACCTGGACACTGGTGTCATTTCGAGGGAGGGGAGCACCCTCTGCAAGGGTATAGAGGTTATGAGGTCCGGCGACGATCATGTTGGGCAGAGAATATTGTTGGAGAAGGATTATCAATGGACTTTGTTGGATTGGAGAGTTGACTGGCCTTGGAAGCAGGAGAGCACTTGGCTTTTGTATCGGACAGTGAAGCGTTTTCAATGAGCCACTCAGGTATCTATCCCAGAAGACGTGGCTTGTTTCTCATCTCGCCTTGCTCCCCATGCGTCGGAACCTTCCATCACCAGCATCATCGCCGCGTTGTGTCTGACGATAGAGGAGTACATCTTCAAAGGATATGGTCTCTCACTGGTTGTGGACAAAAATTCAGGCAATAGCCTCGCGTTAAAGATTAGCCAGCCTTGGGGAAAATGTTGCGCGTTAATCCGTGAGGTGGCTGTTGATGTTTTGCGGCCCTGTTGGCTGACTAAATTGCACACCAACGTCATTATCCCGAGGAGCCGGTGACAAAGGCCACATTTGAGCCAGATGCGGTGAATGTGTGTGTATGGACTGCAGCATTGAAGCAATAATTTAAGAGGATGAAAAAGCCCTGCCACGGATTGCGAAGAGGAAGATCTTTTGTCCGCGATTTCTCCGAAGTCAACGAGCTCTCGCTGCCTTTCACGGCAGATGGTTCCCTTACGTCAGTCCTTCATTCCCAGTCAGCGCAAGGCTGAATGACAGCCTTTTGCTATTTGACCATCTTACGATTGGACGTCTTCGTTTTCTTCACATTCATCCTTTTCCGATGTTCGATACCATATACCCGGGATATGGAAGATGTCTTTATCCTCCTTTCGGATCGCAAACACCCTTTGATGTTCTTACTGATTAGTAGATTTTGCGCCTAGGCCTTCCGCTTCTTCACGCCCTTTGACATCACGTTTTGTTCCTGAAATTGCCCTTCCGAAGAATTAATGCTTTTTGGCTGATTTTGACCTGTTATACCCGTTATCGCAGCTGCTACGCTTCTGATTGGCTCACATCTGTATTCCACCTTACTGGTCAATCGTCCGATGTACGGAGCCTGCGCTGGCAGTATCTGAGATAGCACCCTTTACTAGAACATCTTGTCATTGAACGCACTTGGCGTACCATCAACTGAGGTAGAACCACAAGCTTGAGTATATTACATCCCCTAGCCTCTTCAAACATGGCCCTCCCAGCCGATTTCCCCTTAAAAGTTGCAGGCGGGAAGACTATTCAGATTCCGTCTGTGGGCTTTGGTACCTGGGGTGGAGGTTTGTCTCGGATATAGCCCGATATTTGTCCCTCGTGTCTGACCTCTGCAAAGGCGATCCAGGATGGTGTAAAGCCGCTACGTTGACGGCTCTGAAACTGGGATACAGACATTTGGATTGTGCTTGGATGTATGGTGTATGATGCCACCCTTTACAAAATCCTCGCGGTCGATCCAGCACTGACTCCTATCCAAGGTCGATGAAGAAGTTGGAGCGGCGATCCGAGAATCAGGGGTCCCCAGATCCGAAATATTCATTACGACAAAGTTCTGGCCACACTTCTCTGCGCCGGAGAATGTGGAATTGTGCCTGGACCAGTGCTTGAAACGGATGGGCCTCGAATATGTCGACTTGTTCCTGGCGCATTGGCCCGTCGCATTCAAACCGATATCGCGAGACGCCCTTGAGAATGCGCATAGCCGTGCCTACGTCTCCAAGACGGAAAAAGGAATCTTGGTGGAACCAGGCACCGATAAAGCAGTGTTTGACTGGGAACATACCACTAGCAATATCGCGGCTCAAGCCGGTATGTTACATTCACACACAGTCCCATGGCCAGCAATTGACGGATGCCGTTGACCATTCCAACAGGTCAGCAAGGCAGCTACGTCCCTACGTGGCAAGCGATGCAAAAACTCGTGTCAACCGGCAAGACACGAGCGGTTGGCGTCTCCAACTTTTCCATCGCTGATGTCAAGGAACTCTTGCCGTACGCGCAAGACGTGCCCATATCCTGCAACCAGGTCGAGGTCCATCCATGGCTCCCAAACAACGAGCTCATCGCTTTCATGAAGGAGCACGGCATCCTGGTCACCTGCTACTCTCCGTTCGCGGGCCAGAAAGCGGATGGAAAGACACTACTCAAAGACCCCACGGTCGTGGAACTGGCCGAGAAAAACAGCATGGACGTCGGACAGTTGCTGCAGAGTTGGGCTGTCCAGAGGGGGACCGTCCCTCTCGGAAAGAGCCAGACAGAAGGTTCGTGTGCAGATGTTCCCTCGTACAAGTCTTGGTCGATAGAGAATGGCTGACACTTTCCCGGCTCTACTAGCCCGAATCAAATCGAATCTCGCAGTGAGGGAGCTGTCGTCAGAAGACATGCAAGTCCTCAATGCGCTGGAAATTCCGGACGGAAAGGGAAGGACAATTGACCACATTCATGACTGGGGCATCAGACTCTTCACCAACTGATGTGTTGAGCCTAGAGTCGCATAGAAACATAGAGACTATACAACCAATAGAACAGTCAATGTCAAAAGCAAGACAACTTGCTACCTAAGCTCTCCAGAACCTCAAGAATCGTTCTACATGTGTAAAGTGCGGCGGAATATAAGGCTGCGGTGCGGGGTAAATATTCCTTCGACGGTCTCCGCACTCAGCCTCGTCAATAATTTTTCCCTCGTCCATTATGCCTGGTCGCAGCTAGATATAAACGAAATTCAGTTCAATGTAGAGGTTGTACAGGTCTAAAGAAGACAACCTCAAAATGCCTCACAAACACAAGCGCAAGCGCGCCGACGACGATTCAAAGTACGTACCACCCACAGATCCACCAAAACATCCAGAAAATCGGCATTAACGAGAGATCCCTAGTTTCGACCTGCCGCCCACGTCGCGGGCGCGGACTCTGACCGTCCACCAGAAGCAAGAGTCCATCTTCACGTCGGACGCGGACAAGAAGCGCAAGCAGGAGGCCAGAAGGCAGCAGAAAAAGAAGCAGAATGGCCACAACGGGGCGGCCTTTGAGGACGATACCCCGAAAGCCTTTAGGCGGTTAATGTCGTTTCAACCGGGCGGGAAGAGGATGCCCTCGGGCTTGGACGACGGGAATATCTCCAAGAAGAAACAGAAGCAGAAGCAGAAGCAGAGGAAAGAGGACAAATCAATACCAACCAACAACTCGGCGGCGTCGAAGCCCGACACGCCAGAAGAAAATGCCACAGCGGCGGCTTCGACGGAGCCGTCCGACCCTGCGCCAACGACCGCGAAAGCGGCGAAAGTCCCCAAGATCCTCCCTGGCGAGTCCCTCGCCTCGTACTCGCGAAGGGTCGACCAATCCCTACCCCTGACCTCGCTCCCCAAACACCGGACACGCCTCAGCGCGATTCCGGGACTGGAGAAGATCAAGACCCCACTCACGAAACACAACAAGAGACTGGCGCGGATGCAGAGCGAGTGGCGCGCCACGGACCAGCGGCTGAAGGAGAAGCGGGAGGAAGCGGAGGAAGAGCTGGCGGAGAAGAAAGAGGAGGACGAGGTCCTGTGGCTCGGCGCCGGGATCGATCCGTCGACGCAGGTGTCGACGCTGGGTAAAAGCGGGAAGAAGGCCAAGAAGAAGCGCAGTGGCGGCGGTGCGAGGGACGTCGACGACGCGGACCCTTGGAAGATACTGGAGAAGAAGCGGCGTGAGGAAGGCCAATTGGGCAGGCAGACGAATTTGCAGGATGTGGTGGCCGCTCCTCCGACCTTGAAACCTGTGAAGAACATCTTCAAGGAGAAACCCGAGAGAAAAGCGGGGATGATACCAGTAGTATGAAGGTGGAAAGAAGGACATATTAGAGCGGTGGCGAAGTGAACATCTAAGCAGAGAGGAAAACGTGGTCATCCTCAGGGTGTACCATCATGAAATGGGTCCCATCTGCGCACACATACGAGTCTTGCTGTTGAGATTTTCTGATTTGGATTGCCGAGTTCTATTATTCTTAACTCATCTTCACGCGTCCTTGAGCGAGAATATTTCCCCTTGGGCACAATATCCAGCAATATCAACTCGAAGTCAACATACCCAACAACTGGGAATCCCGTTTCAAAACTGCTTTGTTCAACCCCAGGTACCTCCGCCACCTCCTTTACCTTGCCTTCTCTGCGCGCTCAGCCGCCAATCGTCATCTCCACTGGCGAATTTATTGTGCAAGGGTTGAATCCGTTCTGCCTTCTTGCGCTTGCTGAGGCGATCCGTGGGAGCGACCTTGAAGAACGTCGGGGCAGCTTCAACTAACCACTATAATCAAGAGTCAGCATCAGACAATGTCAAAAGATCTGACAGCAGGAAGGAAATTGGTGGAAAGGGGATCGGGGTAATATGGCACATACCTTCGGCTCAATCACAGTCGCGCAGTGCATGTACTCCTTGGTCGTCAGCACCAGCGTATGGAAGATGACATGCTCGGCCGGTTTTCCAAACAACGCAGAACTAGGATGCATGTACACGGGTGTCCCCTCAATGAGGGTTTTATAGCCCTCCTGCGGATCCTTCCGTGCTGAATTCCTGAAAAACCCGGCGCAGAGTGCTTGTCGAACCTTGAGCGTATTGCGACCGCAGGAAACAATCTGATGCTTGTACCGTTGCATGATAGTGACAAGTTGTTGGCGGACGTCCCTGGCCCGCGCTATTTGACGCTTTTGAATAAAGTTTTCGAAACACCAAGGATCGCTGAACCGAGATTGCTTCCATGCATTGTAGACGTTTAGTAGTGTAAGATGGTCTCCGTGGGGATCATGAAACTTGGCCTTTTTCTGGTCGGCTTGCTGTTGCTTCTCCTTCGGGCGGTAGAACACTGTCTGCACGGAGAGCATTGCCACGATGGTGAGCATCTCCTCCGAACAACCCAAATCCACGGATGCAATTAGGGCTTTTGATAAGGAGGGCTCCATGGGAAAGTCGGCCATTTTGCGTCCGAGTCGTGTGAGAAGACCTTCGTCATCGAGGGCGGAGAGGGCGTAAAGTTCTTCAAGCGCTGTCAACATAGTATTCGTGGGTGGTGGGTCCATAAAGTCGAAATGCAAGAGATCATTGATGCCCATTGCTTTGAGCATCAGAATGGTATTGGAGAGATTCTGGCGCTGGATTTCTGGTATGGAGGTAGGTAACATTTCAGACTGGTAGGCTGCTTCGGTGTATAGGCGGAAGCATTTGCCTGGACCAGTCCTACCTGCTCGACCAGCTCTCTGTTTGGCTTGTGCTTGAGAGATTGGGGTCACAACTAGCGAATCCATTCCGAGTTTTGGATCATAGGCGTTCTGCTTCACAAAGCCGGGATCTATTACGTAGTAGATTCCGTCGATGGTAATGGATGTTTCAGCAATGTTCGTAGCAATAACGACCTTTCGACCACCAGGTGGCGCAGGCTCAAAAATCCGGCTCTGCATTTCGCTGGGAAGGGCCGAGTAGACAGGCAGAATGACCAGTTCAGGGACACCAGGTCCTAAAGCCTTCATTCTTTCGTACAGAACCTCGCAGCTGGTGTCAATCTCTTCCTGTCCAGTTAAGAACAGAAGAATATCACCGGGTGGTTCGGTAAGATGGATTTGCATGACAGTAGTCAACGCCGCGTCCAAGTAGTCTTCCTCCGGCTCTCTGGAATACATGATTTCAACAGGGAATGTTCGGCCGGGGATGGAGAATATGGGACATTGGTTGAAGTACTCGGAGAACTTGTCTGCATCGAGAGTGGCGGATGTGACAATCAGCTTCAGGTCCGGTCGCCTCTTCAAGGTTTTCTTGAGCAGCCCAAACAAAACATCCGTGGCGATGGTCCTCTCGTGTGCCTCGTCCAGCATAATGACGCTGTAGCGCTTGAGATCTGGATCCAGTAAAATCTCTCGCTGAAGCATCCCGTCAGTCATGTATTTGATCTTGGTGGCCGGTGACGTTCGATCCTCAAAACGAATTGTATAGCCGACCTCTTTTCCCAACTCGCAGCCGACCTCCTCGGACACACGCTTTGCGACGGACATGGCAGCGACACGCCGAGGTTGCGTACAGCCGATCATGCCGTTGTTGGCGTACCCGGCTTCAGCAAGGTACTGGGTGAGCTGGGTTGTCTTGCCAGAACCAGTGTCTCCAACCACGATAAGCAGCTGATTCGCAGCAACAGCTTCGAGCAATTGTTTGCGAAAATGAAAGACTGGAAGTGACTCCCTTTGCTGCTTGATAGTCATGTCTGTCCGGCGGCCATAAGACTGATTCTTGCCTTGGGTGGCTCGTTTCCATTCGGGCACTGCTTCAATAGCTCGAGACGATTGTTGTTGGGCTTGTCGCAGGTCCGATGCGAACTTTCTCTGCTCGGGATTGATCATCGGATCTTGCCATTGTGCGTTGAGGTCAACTTTGGATGCCTCTTCTGCCGCCCGCTCCGCTGCTTCCTGTTGCTTGAGTTCTTTTCTCTCCTTGGCTAGGTTTGTACCAGCTTGAGCTGCCCTGTTGAGTGACCCTTCAGGAGCCTTCACAACTCGAATGGGTGACAGTTCCAAGGACAGTTTGGTTTGGCCTGCAAGGAAGGGTGGCTCCTCTTCTCGAACCTCAATATCGATGTCTTCTTCCTCCTCAAACTGGTCATCTCCGTTCAAGGTTGCATTGTATTCCTCGTCAATATCAGGGTAATCATGCGCCGATATTGCACCTGAGGCGATGAGTTGTTTGATTTCCCATCGTTCAGGGGATGTCAATCTCTTCCGGGATTTGCTCGACTTTGAAGTGTAATTGTCTTCGATATCGGGGACTGTGCTACTCAGATTTCCATAACGGTCTTCCGACGATGCACCGTTGAGACTCTCCATGTTAGCGCCGGAGGCTATTCTCCTTGACGGAACAAGATCTTGCCCAGTGACCTGATCAACCTCCTTCATCGACAAGCTGATTTTGTTGTTCTCCATCTTGACAACTTTGACCTTTACGTGCTGTCCACGAGATAGAAGATCAGAGGGATGGTTGACCCTAGCGCCCTCCTGAATGGCAGAGACGTGAATAAGCCCGCTGGCATTGCCTTTGACACCTTGAAGACTAGCAAATGCGCCAAAGTCCTTGATTCCATTGATCACTGCATCATAGACTTTATAGAGAACGGGGAGCTCGTCGATATCACGAGGAGGCGGCCTTCGGAAATCTTCGTCTTCGTCGTAGTCGCGTCTCCTGCTCTTGTGGTGGCCATTCTGCCTCTCATCGTAGCGGTCTCTACGACCGGTGGACCTGTTTTCATAATCACGGTCTTGATATCTGCGTGACCTTTTGTCCTCGTGAGGGCTGGGACTTCGAGACCAGTATTTGCGCCTTGGTTCCCGGTTCCTTGCATAGTCATCCCGATCTGGACTGCGACTCCTCTTTCTGGTTCTTTCGGTATGTCCATTCGTACCGGCCTTCGATTTTCCTGCAAGGCCTTCGAGAAGTGCAAAGGTATCGTCCTGTGCAAGGTTGTTTGTCCGACTTGCCTTCTGTGCAGCGATATCATCCTCGGAGTCGGTCCAGGACTGGTCACGATCTGGAACAGCAAGCCCCTTAAAGACTTTCGCTTTGCGACCGATCGCATCTAGCTCGTCCATGTCGGAAGAGCCATTTGCCTGCGCAGATTGTTTCTGGGAGTTTTTGTACTTAGGATGCATCGCCTTGATCAACCGATCGATGCTCTCAACCAGGCTGTTGGGAAATTCTGCCCCCATGCCCGCTAAGTCCTCCTTGAACTTTTCCAGGTTGCCCCCACATTTTTCGTGCTGGTCGATGACAAACTCGGCGAGAGTTTTGTCGTTGATTCCCAGGTGGTTTTGCAGTTCGGAGGTAACTTTGGAAACGAGCGACAGCAGTTCGAGGGAGGTGAAGTCGTCCATGGCTGGCCAAAGGCAAGCCTAGATCGTGAAGGTTGTGCAATTGTTCGTGGAAGGGCGGGCCTGGTCCAGCCAGTTGTCGGCCCTTGGTGATGTATTCTCGATGTTGGAGATGGACATGGAATTTTTGAGAAGCGGCAAGCGGGATGCAGGCTGCGGATCAAACAAACCTCGCTTCGCTTGGGTTGGCTCGATCTGGGTGGCGGCAGCTTGGGTGGCGCAGGCCGCCCCAGCTCCGTTGGGTCACTTGGTGGCACCTGGCGAATAGGCTCGATTTGTCGACAGTTGAACGGCAGGGTCTTTCTTAGGTCGAGACCTTGGATATCATATTATTACATGGTGGATGGATGGTGACGACGGTGCCTGCACTGTGTCAATGCCAGTAGATCACCCCTCCTTGACCCTCTAATTGAAGCTCAAGTAAGTAGAAAAAGGTACCTTCACCCCGCCATCAGAATCTACAATCCGTCTTTTTTTCCTCCTCCAGATATCCATTACCCTTCTACAACAGAGTCCTTCCCTCACAATCCTTTGGCATTGCAAAGAGCGTCGCCCCAGTCCAGTCTGTTATCATAGTCATCACCGGAAATGGAGAACATTCGGGCAAAGATCAAGCGCCGTCTCAGCCACAAAGACAAAGAGAGTATGCACTTCCATCTCCTCGCCCAGAGCCTGTGAAACTTCCACAAGGCTTGACACAAAGCTCAGGCATTCACTGTCTCCCTCTGGTCTCCGTGGCTTTCAGTGTCATATACACCGCTGCTAACCTCGTGTGCAGTCAACTTTGACGAGCATGATTCAGCCGACGAAGAAACCATGGACTATGTCACCAAAGAGGCCGATGATGCAGAAAAAGAAGGACATGACACAGGCAAGCCAGGGAGCTTCTTGAACCGCTTGATCCTGCATGGCAACAAAAAGACCGAGGACCAGCTCGCT